AAATTTAAAAGTTGTTCTACAAAAAAAATTTCTAGGAGTGCTAAATTTCCCATTTATTATTGCATAATTCTCGATTTAGTTCTTTTCCACCAGTGTTATTAACTTACTTCTGAAAACTAAATATAAAAGTAGCAAACCAAACTTTTATATTACTGAACTATATAACAGATTTCTTAATTCAGTTTTCTTAGGGAAATGTCTCCACATATTATAAGTACTGTGAATTATCTCTGGACCACAGTAGGATAGCATCCGTTCAGTCAGGAATGCAACACTAGAAAAATCTTACATCTTTTCAACTCTTAATTTAGGAAAAGCATTGTTATTAAAATGTATGTGCCAATTAACTTCCAGTGACTCTGGGCCCTTTACAAATGATTTAAGACATAAAAAATGACAATAAAAACCAAAAAGAAACAAAAACAATACAGATGGCAGAAGAACAAACTTGGTGGAAGCAAAAGAAACAACCTTAATTAAAAAGAGGCCTCAGTCATTCTCACCAAAGGCTTAAGTGAACAGTCAGGTCGACAAACAAGGTTTCATTGTAAGTAATTATAGAGATGATTTTGCCTTTAAACCTTGAAGGAAAGAAAGAACCTAGTCCATATGTTCTGCTTATTTTGGAGATACTTTAAAAAGCTCATATAGCCCATTTGTCCTCGAAAAAATTGAAATGGGAAATCGTAAGAGACATAAATTGGATCCCAAAGGCTCATTCCACCAAATATTAAGAGCGGCCACTTCACAATGGGAAAATGGCTGCAGGTAACCAGAGATCTTTGACTAACTATTAAGAAGTTACAGAACTGTAGACTTCTAAGGGAAGAATAGAGAGCTAAGACATCTCCAATAGCTAAGATTAAGAAATCTCTAAATCAGCAGACACAACATCTCTGGCCAAGACTAAAGGACCAACAAGTACATTGGTCCCACAGAACCTCTCTTGGTAAGGAGAGAACAACAGATCACTTACTTGTGCTCTGGACAGCTGCTCCTCACAGACAGACAGCAGGACATCAATTTCCAACAAATTTGAGTGCTAAGAAACGAAAGGAAGCAAACATGCTTTCAACTGTGCGCCTTTTAAAGGATACTGGATTCACTAACCTCACTTTCAAACCATTTTGGAATCGAACGATTTTAAAGCTCACAGAAAACTTCAGAATGACAAGTTTGAAAAGCTACCTGTAAATTTAACTTTACTCTTCAATAAAATATAAATTAATGTTTAAGAATGTAAAGAATTGGAAATGAATGTCAAAAATCTAAGTAAGATTTTGATCTAAGAAAGTTATAAACGAATTAAAATACAAGACAAATTTGAATTATTAGAACTCTCCTATAAAATTTTGGAAACAATAAACACACAACACCATACAAACAGTGGGAACTAAATTGCTTAGTCTACCCTAACAAAAATTAATGACTATGATTTCAGAAATTGGAACTAAAGATTCCTGGCTGAAAGAAAAAAAGGTGATGAAAAGTCTGTCTTGTGTTTTTGCAAACTGACAGAAAATGCTATGATATTTGAAATACTCCAGGAGATCTTTGCAGATGGAGTCAGAAAATAGCAATTACAATGTTAGCAATGATGCAGGCTTCTATGGATAGACTATTTCCAAAAAAAGATGTTAAAAAAGATATGGCAGAAGTAAAAGAGACACAAAGAGTAAAACATCTTGGGAAAAAAGAGATGAAATAAATTTTAGGGGGGAAAAGTTTCATGATAAAGAACTGAAATGTTTTCCTGTTGCAGAAAAATAAGAACATAAGGAAATTGAAGAAATACTTTAAAAATATGGCTTAGAAGACAGAAAAGATAAAGTGGAAATACAAATGACAAGTCAAGAGAATGACCTAGATAAGAACTTCTTACGACTTGTAAAAAAATTGGTTAATGAAGAAACCTTTGAGATGGGAAAAAGAAAATCTGAAGAGAGATTCTATGACAATATTTGAATGAATTAAAGATTACGATTGGAGAAAAAGGAAATAATATAAAATTGGTTTGTTGAACAACATTAAAATGGCATATTTGTATACCTGGAACTTTTTGCATCTGGATTTGCGTAAGGAGAAGGAATGGGTTATGGGAAGAAGAAATACTTATTGCAAATATTTTTACCATATAGAGGATGAAGAATTATTAATTCTGCTTGTACTTGTTCTGATGAAGATCAGAAGTCACTTCTTTAAATATTTCCTTTTCTCTTTTTCTTATTTTCTTTTCCCTCTTTACACATTTTTTTCTTTATTCCTTCTTTTTCTGAGTTTACTTTGTATTTTCTTTTACTACTGTTATTAGAATACTTGATAAAAACTATTTAAAAAAGTAAAAGTTTAATTTTTTTGTTAAGGAACAGAGCAACAGGACACAATTAATATTTACATTTTCTATGTTAAATATGTGTTCTGTATTTTTTCATATCTCAGAAAGAATTCTCAAAAAAGAATATAAACATATTATCCTCAAATTGTAGAAATATTATTTTTCACGTATTTGTTCTACAGCAATTATATACAGACCTTAGTCATATTATGCAAGATTGTGATTAAGAACACTCTGAAAAATACCAGGAGGTGTAATACAGTACTTATAACTGAGAACTAAAATATAAATAGGAACAAAAGGGAAATAAAAAAAACATGTTATTCTTTACCAATATCAATAAACAGTAATATAAAAATACACATAAAATCCACATTCTACTTCTTCATTACTAAAAAACAACCAAAATAAGTATCAAAAATTATTTTGCTAAACCAAAATTCTGTTATAGTGCATTTGAATATCCAGCAAGTAATGTTTCTATTCCACTCCAATCTGTTTTGTTGTTGATTTAGGGCTCTTCCTCAAACTTACGGAAATAACAACAAAAATGATGGATGTAATTGCTTGCAGAAGACTAAAAGGCTTAACCTTTAATTACTTCAGCACAATATCCAGGATGTTAAGACAGTGCAACAACCCAACTGCAATCATGCAGCTGTTCAGGGCAAAGCTTTATTGTATAACTCAGAACTATATTGTAAGAGGAGAGGAACAACTTTTAACGAAAGTTTATAGTTTGTTGTACAATTACAACACTAGTTTCCCATTTACAATTATCTGGTCCATACTGTTGAGTTGACATAATGCTGCAATCAGGAAACCATTAACTCAGATATGAGCTAATCTTCAATACCACAGCATAGACTGACAGAAATCTAAGTTCCAGTTTTAAGGAATACACCCATGTTTCTATAGAATACAAGATAAGGAACAAGAAAGCAATAAGAGTGTTTAATAAAAAAAGTCATCTACAATTAGGATACAATTATAAGATTGACAAGCCTATGATTTACATAGCTTGATCATTTTACAGCCCCACAAATGCCCAAAGACCCAGCAAAACCTGATAAAAACATATTTAAGGTTTATTCTTTTAAGTAAAATATTCAGATATAACCAGCCTGTATTTATTCTCTTAAACCCAGCAAGCATAACAAATACTCTGGGATTAGCAGCTTTTAATGTAAGGATATGGAAACATCAGATTATTTGGTCCATTATACTACACACACACATACAGATATTCCAAAATATCTTTGTTAACACAAATGTAAACTGAAAACTGTGTTTCAAAGTAGATATTATTTAGGGTAATCCAGAATGATTGATACATTAATTTTTAATTTTACTGTAGAAAGCATGTAATATTTTTATCTTTTATTGAGACCAGCAGAGAAAATTATATAATTTATCAGTTTATATAGTATTTTGAAAGTAAATCTAATCTGCTGCATAAACAAAAATTAGCCTCATCACAATCACTATATGAACATTAAACATAAGATTTCCACATAGAACATTTACACATTCATTTAAATTTTTTAAAGCAAATGTCTATGTACACAAGATACAGACATTCATATAGCATTAACTTATACAAATGAAGAACATGATATATTTATATCATCTGTTGAATTTCCTCACAATATTTGGTTTCCTGCTTCTAAACCCAAGTTAAACGCATCTGGGTTGTTACAGCAAAGTAAAGTAAGGAGCGATATGTGTACTCAGAAAATATTTAAAATCAACTAATTAATGATTACACAATGATTACACAATACAAATACTGAATCAAGCTATAAAATCATATTGTGCACAAATATGAATCTCGTAAACCCTGATTACAGTTCCAAGGGCCTATAATTGACAATCAGGAAAGGCAGCTGTGGGAATTCTCTTATTGTATATAATAAACTCATCCAATAATGATAATGATTGAATAATTAAAATTCATAGATATAATCCAAGTATGCGTTTCATATATTTATAAAAAATTGAAAGGCTTTGAAATATAATCTGAAGTGTAAGAGGAATTTCAAGATATATTGATTAGACTAAAATACATTTTATATCAGGAAACAAAACAGCGTTTCCCTACTCAGAAGCAGCGCGACTTGGAGACGGATTTTAATGTATACTTCAGGGAAGGCGTTTATCCTATGTAAATTATGCAAGCATATTAGTTGGAAAACTGCAGCTCTTTCTGAAGTTATATTAGCCGTATGAATTTGTGTCTTGCATTGCTGTAGATATCAAAGAATGCCGATCGGTTTCGTCATTAGCGCAAAAGCGCCGAATGCTAGTGAATTTTGGGAGTCCCCCTTTCCCCTTACACGATTCTGCTTCAGCAATTCCGTACTTTTCTACTCTATGCTCCAATCACCCATTCCAAGAAACCCAACACTCTTCTCAAACTGCGCTCCCATCTGCTGTTTTGGCCCAGGCAAGAGGAGGAGTCGGAGAAATAATCCAAACAGCTAATCGCGCTTTCGGTGCCCCCGGACCTTGTAGGGGCAAGAAAAGATTATCGGGACACGTGCGCCAGGGAATCTGGTCGCAAACTCGACTATTTGCTCTGCCTCTTAGTGCCAAAACCAGCCTCTCTCTCTCCCCTCCCCGCACATACTTTTTGGTTCCCGCCTCTCCCAACTTTTCCACTCACTCTTGGTGGCGGCGATCAGCGTCTTGCCATCCTTGAGCAGCTCTTTGATGAATTTGTTGGTTTTCTCCAGCTCCGCTTCGTGAGCTCGTATCCTTTCCCGGAACCAAGGGTTGTCCAGGTAGCAATCGCTGAACTCCAAAGGCTGCAGTCCCATGGCTGCTGAGGCGGCGGCAGGGCTAGACCAAAATACTTCAGCCTATCTAATCCTTCTCCGAGAGGCTGCAGGAGGAGCACGCCCGCCTTCTCCTCCAGACCAGAACCGGTCCCTACAGCGCCTCACCAGGGCAAAGCCGACAGCCGCCGAGGACTATCCCAGCCCCTCTAAAAGAACCGCGGGAGAAACGGAGGGCTTCGGCGCCGCCGACGAGCAACGCCACAGGAAGGAGACTGGCGGGGAAGAAGTTGGTCATTGAAAAATCCGCCACCAGCTCCACGCACCCTTGGACCGCCTCGGGTGCTCCGCTGGAAGTCGAGGCAGAAGCTGGGCTGCTCTGAAGGAGCTCCGCGGACAAACCTCCCCCCGCGGACTGGCTGGAAGAGGAGACTAAGGCGGCCCGCATCTGCATTCCCTCCCTCAGTCCCGCCTCCCTCCCAGGCTGAGTCTCCACTCCTGGCCTTCCCGCCTCCGGTTTTTCCAAGTTTTTCCAATCCGACACCGAGGTTTTCTCGCTCGGCTCCTCCCTCCGGCCGTCCGGGTCTTGCCGCTCTCACGCTCCTCAGGGTGACGGAGGAGGTCTCCCTTGGGCCTGCAACAGGGCGTCAGCTTCAGTCGCTGCTTTGGACTCCGCGGTCTCCAACTCTTTTGGGACGGTTTAGATTAGAATAAGCCGCAGGGAACAAACGGTGACGTTCTCGTCAGTCGTTCGCACGAACATCGTTCCGTTTATTCTGCAGCCGAAATAAAAGGATCTCGACCAGCGGCGGTAGTGGCCGTTGGGCTGCAGTTCTTCTGGCTGCAAACCAGTGCAATAACATGTAACGTTTGTGCCCGTGTGGTTACCAAAACACGGTCCATAAAGTGAGGGTTATTTCTGAATAAATGAATTTAAAACCTTCCTCCTCCTCCCCCCCCCCCCGGTTACACTGAATAAAATCAACTTTCCGAATCTTGATCTTTAAAGCAAACTCTCCGCAACTGGTGGATTTCCCCTTAACTCCACAATTTTAATTCATCCTGGAAAGCTCTGGTGCACCCTAACTCGGGAGTAAGTCCCTTGCACTCAGGGCTGACTTCTAGGCGTGCATGAGTATGCGTATGTGTACGAATCTACTGAGAAATAAGCCTTAAGTAAATAGGGATCGATGCACGTAGAACCGCACTGGGAAAAGAGGGAGAGGCACTAAGACCTGAACATTGTTTCTCTAAACTCGGAGGGGAGGGCGGTGATGACGACAGGCGCCGCGAGGCCACGCAGAATATGGCGCCGCCCTTTTCCCTGCCTCAGAGAGGCCTCCACTGGCGGGCTCGTCAACGGCGGCCGCTTTCTTTGAGCTCCGCTTTCGCCTTTCCTCAACATTCAGCGCGGAGGGGCGAGAGATCGAAGTGGAGCGGAGAATGTGCGTGTGAAAGTCAGTGGCTGCGTCCTGATTCCTCCTCTCCCGGGACTCTTTCTCTTTGAGAACCGGCCTCTGTTGTCTGAGGAAGCTCTGGCGAGTGCGGGTGATTCGGAAACGTTATTCTGGCTGCCATAAACACGCGTCTGCCTAACACGAGAGAGGGTCTTCCGCGCGTGGTTTTGTAAGTGAGAAGCCGGAGGTCCGCTTCCTCTTCGCCTGCCCTTGAAAGTGATTTTAAGTGGTTCGCCTTAAAAAAAAGTTTTAAAAGGTTAAGTAAGATTCCATGTCGTTTGTTTTTGCATGGGGAGGGCGATTTGTGTGTGAGGACCTTCATCAAGACTAGCATTTCTGAATACATATTAGTAAATAAGACTTACCGAAAGATAATTGCTGCTCTCGAGTTACTACGTGGCCTCTTCACAAGAGACATTGGCGCAAAAGTTGTTGTTTTAGTAACCACACGAACACAAACTTTACATGTTATTGCACTAGTATTGGTTAGGTTTATATTCTGCCTTTCCTAGAGGAGTTCAATACTCCCAAACCTTTTTCTCTCAGTAGCCTTTTTTACTTTTGAATTGTATACAGGACACCAAAAGAGCTTTTGTTGTATGGGTTGACATTTAAGGTATTGATATTAACGTTTAAAGTTTTAAATTATACAAAGTTTGGGACCACTTTTCATGTAATTCCATCAATTTGTTAATATCTATGGAGCATGTCTTATTTATTTACAAGTAAGGGTAGATTGGTTGCTCCTGGAAAAAATACAATTATGTTATTTCTTCCTATAGATTTACTCAGATCCTTTAGCAGTATGTCTCAAAAGCCATGTTTTAGTAATAGGTTAGCCATAATGCCACTGAGTATTATGTAACGCTTTTTCAATAATGTTATATGTACCTGTAGAATTTTATATTCCACCTTAATGGAATTTATTGTTGTTTCATGATATCCATTTTCCTAAATTGTGTGCTGAGTAGACAGCTATACAAATTAAACACATAAAATGTTTGTTTAGTAGGGCTCTACATATTTTAAATAAGCATTTAGTTATTGCATTTGAACATACCAGTATTTCTTTACTGTGTATGTAACTGGGTTTACCCTAATCACATAATCTAATCACTTTATTTCTTTGGACAGTCTTGGGTATTTTTCAGAGAATCCCGAAATTCCTTGAACATATTTTCTGTTCTTTGAATCTATTTTGTAAAAATGAGGGCACATAATTTGATGCAGCTAATAGCAGTAGAGGTTAGAACTAATTTGCTTAACTAATAACATTTTAAGTAGAAAAGCTGGGCCATTGATTTAGAGCTGCAAGCAGATTTTTCCAGCAATATCCACAAACATCTTGAACTACTGTGCACATCTTCTCCAATCAGCTAGATATCTCAATGGCATAACAATTCCAAAATTCAGAAGGGCGTTCGTTATTCTTAGGCAGATTCAATGCCCTTCCAAAACCTGTTACTGAAGGAAGATACCAAAAAACTCTTCTTCCAATGGAGACTGTGTGGTGGGGGAATAATTGAACTAATGGAACATGTTACTCTGTATTGCCTTTTCTCTGCAGGTGCTCGCCCTAAATATCCTGGTCATTCAGATTTGTTTTATCTCAAGATCTTATTATTGGATCAATCTGATATTATTTCCTTGAGCACAGCCAAATACTGTTTTATAATCTGTACAGTACCCCCTAGTTTTAACTCCTCTTTTTTTTCCTTTTGTCTTAATTATGATTCCTGTGTTTTATCTGCTGGTCTGTGACAGAATAGCGATTGATTAGATTTGATGGAAAAGCTGGAAAGTATATTGAATATGAATTAAAATTCTAGCTATGTGTAAAATCACTCATTCAGCGACCATTCGTAGTTGCCATAGCCTAAATGAGTGGTACTTATAACTGGTTCTCAAAGTTCTGACCGTTACACCACACCTACTGTCAGGTACTTGGCAACCACCTTGCACTTGTGATAGTTAGGGTGCCCTGAAGTTTTGTGATTGCTATTTGTAATGTTCTGCTCTGGCTTTACATAACTAAAGTCAAAGCCAATGAGCAAATGGAGGCCGGGGGGCCAGCGCCACACTCTCTCTCCCCAGGCTACTCTTCACTCACATGGCACTGACCTTGTTTCTAACTTCTTCACTCACGCCCAGCCTGAATGGGACTTCCAGGGCCTCCCCCATCCTCTGAGCACCCCCCACAGTCCTTACCTGGAACGGCTTCCCGCTTAACCTACATCTTGGGGTTATAGTGGCAACTGTGATTGTCATCACATAATGTCATCATGTGACACTTTATGACCTAATTGCTTAACAACAGCAGTCTTCATCCCGGTTGCCATAATAAACCAAGGACTATTTGTACTACAAATCAGTTGTTGGATTATTTTCATTCAATACTGCTAGCCGGACTAAATAAGATAATATGCATCTTTCTTACTTATGTATGATGTTCTAAAGACAGCCTGCTGTCTTTAAAAAAAACCCACAGCTTTCCAGTTTTAATATAAGGTTTGACTTATAGAGTGCATTCTTGCCTTTACAAAAATAAGAATCATGCTATATTTTGAGTCCTCCACATTCCTTTTGTTGGGAACAGAATGATAGTAATGTTCAAAATAGTACAAATTAACCTATGGTATTATATTTTATAAATAATTGCAATGGGGACAAAAATAACTTTAATTTGTTAATTGTAATAAAATAATAGAATTTGGCCACAATCCTAGAATAAATGTTTTATCTTTGCAGGACAAAGTGGAGTTGCTTTTAATTAAAAATGCCTAACAGTAAAAGCAAATCTCGGCATAGACACAAAGTTAGTCAAGAAACTGGCCGGCGTGAATTAGTCTCCAGATCCTTGCAAAGTGCTCAACATTGTCTGGAGGATCGTGACTTTGGAACTGCATATGCTCACTATCTCTTGGTATTAAACATAGCTCCTGAATTTAAAAATGATGTCAAGGTGAGAAATTTTCTGCTTATTTTTTCCCTATCCTAAATAAATGTGTGAACCACATGTATACTACACTGGACATGGTATGTAATTTATTCATTATTTATTTATTTAGAAAATTTATATAGGCACTTATATAGCCTCTTACAAACAGAAAAAAATAAATATAAGAAACAATAAACACTTAAAAAACAATATGCTTCCCCACTCTAGATGTGACCGGCAAGACCAGTCCCTCAGATAACCTGGTCCCAAGCCATGAAGGGCTTTAAGGGCAATCAGCACCTTGAATTGCTCCCAGAAGCAAATTGGCAACTAGTGCAGCTCCCGTTGGAGAGGTGACACTTGCACACCGAGGTCTGAATAAAACCATGCAGGCCGCTGCATTTTGAACCAACTGGAACTTCCGGATGCTTTTCAGGGGCAGCCCCATGTAGAGTGCATTGCAATAGTCAAGATGGGAGGTGACTAGGGCATGAGTGAATGTGGGTAGGGATTGTCGATTCAGGAAAGGGCATAACTGGTTCACAACCCACAGCTTCGCATTTATTTGCTTATTTATTGGAAACATAATGAATAATCTCTAAATTTTTGAACAATGTTTTTGTTTTTTTAGGAAGCATTTCAGTTTACCCTTTTTAAATGGGCAGAAGAGCTGGATTCTCTTTCACGAATTCAAGATTTATTTGATTGCTATGAGCATGCCCTGGAATTATATCCTAATGATGAAGTTATATATAACAGTATGGGGGAACATCTTTTCAGGTGTGAAGTTATACTTAATTAGCCATAATTTGACTAAATATTCTAATGCACATAAAGCTTCTGAGTCAAGGAACTTTAGTTTAAATATATTACAAAGTTATTAACTGAATAAGCATTCTTAATTCTACATGTGTAAGTATTTACAATCATTTGAGCCTGGCAGCTTCTCTTTTGTCTGTTAGCTCAGATTCATTAGAACAAACTCTAAATGCAAAGGTATCATTAATTATAATTTCTAGATTGCTGCTTCGTGTTTATTCTATTTTATGTTTAATTTTAAGATTCATCCTCATTACCATTTTGTGCATAGGCATCTTCTGTTTTTCCCAGGTTAATTTCCACAATGGAAATGGATAACTCTATTGCAGTAGTTTGTTGTCAACTCAGGTTTTCATAAGAGAAAACACTATATTTGGATTCAGTATTATTGAGATGATTTATCTTATAGATAGTCCTTGCTTAACATCCATAACAGACTAGCAACTGGTCATCAAGCAACATGGTAATTAAGTGAGTTATCACATGACTGTGATAGAGTTTCATCTCACTTCTGCGATGATTAAGTGAGTCACCATGTTCATTAAGCAAAACATCATGTGATTACAACTTGGATTTTACTGCTGGTTTCTCCAATGCCCCCTCTCCTTGTCGGAAGCTGATTTGTGAAGCACAAACAGGACCGCAGGATGCTTCAGTGATCATAAGCATCTTCTGGTTATGAAGCACTCAAATCTTGGATAATGTGACTGCAGGGACTCTAGTGGCCATAAGTGCAAGGATTAGTAATAAATTGACTTTTTTAGCACTGTTGTAACTTCAAACAATCGCTAAACAGGATATCATTACATAAGGACTAACTTGTAAGCACTTGAAGATTTATTTACACAGTACACGTGTCATTTGTTTATTTCTAACAGTAAACCATAATTATCATCTGCACTTTTCTATAATTTAAACTGCTATATATCTTCATATTACAAATATAGATTTTTCTCAAAATTCTGTTGTTCCAAAAATTAAACATTTGTGCTTTTATTGATAGTGTAATTTTTTTTCTGTTAGGTTGGGCTTTAAAGATGAAGCAGCTGCATATTTTCATAAAGCTGTGAAGTTAAACCCTGACTTTCCTGATGCAAAGGAGAACTTTTATCGGGTTGCCAACTGGGTGGTAGAACGGTGGCATTTCATTATGCTTAATGATTACAATAGAAATTTGCTGTATCAAAAAGCAATCCAGAAAGCTGTTCATTCAGGATATAGAAGCGTACTTGATATTGGAACAGGAACAGGAATTCTCAGGTTTGTTGAAACTTCGTGATACAAATATTGGCATGTTTATTTACAAAGTAATAATGACTAAGATTTAGTGACATATTTCAATGAGGCAAGTTCAATAAAAAATTGCCAGATGGCATTAACATGGCACTCCATTAGCATATTCCAAACAGATGCCAAGAGGCTTCAGCTATTATAGCCCTACAACCTTTGTAGCAAGATTGAATAACCATTGTTTCCTTACAGTTTTTTAACTATCCTGGCATTCTCATCTGTTACAAAGTATGAGAGTCTTTTTCCATAGCAAATAAAGTTGGGGAGGCTACAACTAAACAAGACCCATCATCATCCTAGTTTTATTTTGGTTTAAAATGGTGTTTGATACAACTAGCTTTTTTTTGTTTTAAAACGTTTAAGAAATTAATGATATTATTTCTTATTACCTGAACTTTATGCCCCCCCATATGCCCCAGGACTTTTAAAAATAAGTATCAAATATTTTATACAGAAATTACATTAAAGTTAAATTAGTAGTATTTTGTCTAACCCCAAAAAATATTATAATTTATATGGAATGTCTTCTGCTTTTTCAGTATGTTTGCTAAAAGGGCTGGAGCATCTCCTGTCTATGCTTGTGAATTGTCAAAGACCATGTATGAATTGGCTTATGAAGTGCTAGCTGCAAACAATTTGGATGGAGAAATCAAACTTCTTCACATGAAATCCTTTGGTATAGAAATTCCAAAGCACATACCTGAAAGGTTATATCTTATATTTTGTCTGCTATTTTGAATTAAATATGGTATTCATTACTAATGTTATGAATAATAATATTCATATTCTCCATAGCAAGAGCAAATATTGTATAATGTGTTATCCTTCTACTGAAATTGATTTTTTTTAAGTTTCAATCTTTTACTGATTTTATTGTAAACAATGTAATATTATACTATACAGTTGAAGTATGTTTACTCAGTAGCTGGTATACTGAATTCACAGTCACTTATTTTGAATTAAAATAAAATTATATAATTAAAATAAAATTATATAAAACCCAAATGGAAAAAGATACCTGTTTTCATCTTGCCTCCAATTCCAAATGTCTGCTGCTGTTTGGGAATTTTATATTAAAATACTAAGAAGTAATTTTTAGAGCAAGTTTATAAGAAGTAACTTCTTATTGAAGAAACTCACTAGCGAGATGATCACAGTTCAGTTGTATAAGAAAGGACTGTTAATGTCACATTATTAAATTTAAGCTTTATAGTTTTTAAGGCTTCTTGTTATAACTATTTTTTTATATTTAATAGAGTTTCCCTTGTTATCACCGAAACAGTAGATTCTGGATTATTTGGTGAGGGAATTGTAGAAAGCTTGATCCACGCTTGGGAACACTTACTTTTACCACCAAAGGTTAGTATCTTAGTATCTAAGGCCTGATAAGAAAAGATACCTTATTTTTATATTATAAAGTTCATGAAGTCTTCTGCCTGTTCAAAAATTTTGTTAATCTGAAAAGTTGTATTTGGGCATTTTTATACTCTGTAAGCTAAAATATAAGTATTGCTTCTTAATACATGAACAACAAATAAACCTTGTTACACAATTTTTAATGTATGTCTGTTTTACAGCCTAAGGATGGTAGAGATGATTCTAAAAACTATGGTAGAGTTATTCCAGCAGGAGCTACTATGTGGGGCATGGCAGTGGAATGCAAAGAGATACGTAGACATCATAGGTATATTTTTTACTGTTACAAAAAAAAATATCTTTAATTTTTAGACAAAAAAACAGAAAATGCCTTACTTTTAAAGCAAAGAATTTTGTCTCTGTTCTTTTTTCATTAACTTTATTATGAAGAATTTTAAAAGCATGTTAATAAGCATGGCAAAATATTAATCATAAAAATGCTGATGACAAGTTTATACTGGACTGATACTCATAAAACCCAATTCCCTCATTCTACATCATAGAAAAATCATGTATTTTCTAGGCTGATAATTATATAATTTATATTTTTCACCCTTTCATTAGCAAAGGTTCTTTGTATAAGTTATGTACTAAATAAAGCAGTGTAAATAATAAATTCTTCCAAATCAGATAATGTATATATTTATGTATAAAAGCAGTGAGACCAAGGCTGTAGTACAGCCTCAGTCATGGAAATTCACTGGGTGAGTTGGGCCAGCCACTCTCTCTAGCACAGTGTTTCTCAACCTTGACAATTTTAAGGCATGTGGACTTCAACTCCCAGAATTCCACAGCCAGCATTGCTGGCTGTGGAATTCTGGGAGTTGAAGTCCACATGCCTTAAAATTGTCAAGGTTGAGAAACACTGCCTAGCACATGTATTTCCCAGGATTGTTGGAGTCAAGGGAAATAGTAGGCTAGAGACTGCCTTGGCTTCTGAATAAAAGGGAGGATATAAATCTAACAAATAAATATACACATGCATTAATATATTCCGGGAAAGCCTTGTATTGTAGTTATTTTCACTACATTCACAAGATTGATAAAAATACAGTCTGCTGTTAAAAAGATAGGTGAGGAATCAAGACCAGCAGGACCTCCTCTTTAAAACATACTTTGCTATAATGACATAACACTAAGCGTTTTATAAGATGATTACACTTTTCCTCTTTCTCTGTGTCTTAATTGTATGACCACTCAAACTCTTTAAGATTTATGATGTATAAATTAAAGTAACATTTTTTTTTCAAAATTGTAAAAACATACTGAATGCCATTGGTTTACAGTGTATTAAGGGGTTCAAGTTACAAATTATGCTACTTGAAAATAATGGGCGGAAAATGGAAGGCTAAAGAAAATGATCTGTTTCAACTCCAATTAAATACTGTATATTCCTAAAAATCATGATTAGATTTGCACAAGAGATTGAAATCCTATCCTATCCTAGATAGGGAGATTTCACTATAAATCACATGGGAAAGTATGTGTTTCCTTCCCCCCCCCCCAACTTCTGGAATCCACTCCCATCAGCCATATTTAAGTAAAGCTAACCTAAATCAGATTTCTTCAATAAACAATAGGCTTGAGGGGAAAAGATACTTTATCCTTACTGTAAATGTTATCTTCCCTTTAAGTTCAAACAGTAGTACTAACCTCCAGCTTTTCAGCTATCAAAACTTTCAAATGAGACTTTTTAATATGCAAAACACCATATCTAATTGGAAAATAAATTATAATAAAAGAAAATATGCTTGAATTTATCTAGTCAACTCTAATTTTTATTATTTCCTTTTCTCAGAGCGGAGGTAAAAGAAATTGCTGGTGTCTGTTTGCCAGAAACCCTGAAGTTTTGCAGTCCAACATCTGCTTCTCTAAACTCCAGTGAAACCCTTGAACCTTACACTACTGAAAAACTCGGCAGAATACCTGGTGGTTATAAAGCTCTTACAGAAATTTTTCAAGTTCTGACAGTCAATTTTAATAATTTGCAGGTAATTTACTGGCACAAGAAAAAACTAATAATTACTAGTTATTATTGTAGAACTGAAAAATGAATTTCATTAGGATAATACCCTTATTCCATACAATATTTTAACATTTAGCCAAATGTCACATTTGTATATTAAATATTTATTAGCATTGCATGCATGTTTTAGATCAGAGGTCCCCAACCTTTTGGGCACCAGTGTCCGGTTATGTGGAGAGAGGTTTTTTCACGGACCGGAGGGTGCGTGGTTTTGTATGTTGCTTGCATCTGATGGATGGGGCTTTGCTTGTTTGTGCAGCCTGGACCGGGGGTTGGGGACCCTTGTTTTAGATGCATGACTAATATGTAAAATTTTACTGACCTTCACCCAATTGGTTGTCCTAATCTTGTAGAATCTATTTGTCAGCTATCACAATGGCATTTTTTCTGTGCATGCAACTACTGTTACCTATTGACATTAATATGTATGAATGATATTGTTACATTGCTTAAACAAAAGAGATTACTTACTGAAGTCAGTTTCTATATTTAAGGCAGAATTTAACCAAAGTAAAATTGTGAAATAAAAATTTAAGCTTAATCAACAACATAATTTGGGAATAGAGAAACAGGGAGGTAGAAACACCTGAAAAATAAAGTAATGGAAGATTTCTACAGGTCATTGTATATTAGAAAGATAAATTAATTTGGAAGATAGCTCAAACAATTGTACCAAGTCATTTATTTCTTTGAAGGAAAAAAATATATAAAGTAACTATCATTGCATCTAATCTGTGAGCAAATTATATGCCTTAAAAGAAGATGAATGTTTTTTCTGTCATAAGCAAGGTTTTTATTTCTTAGCCATAAAGGCAAAATCTTAATATGTAACTCTTCTATACAGTTAATAGTTTGAAGCAGTATGTTTAAATGGGAATCATAATGTTCTTTTTTTCCCACCCTGGTTGAAGACAGCCAATTATTGGCATATGCAAATTATATTTGGGAATCCAGATATTACTGTATAGTCAATCTAATCAGTCAATAATATAGTCAGTCAATATTATTATCACTGAGTTGTTGCAGCCTTCTTCACCAATTGCAATATCTTTAATCTAGTAGCACAATTCTTAGGCTGTGCAGAATTCACAGATCAATATATTTGTTTTATTTGTAGACATTCAGCTGGTTATGATATTCTAGCAAGAAATAAAAGTGACATTTTCTGATGTCTCCATAAACATATCTATGTTGTTTTTGGGTGAACAATCCAGAAATATTTGGCTGCTAACTTCTTAGGAAATATTCCTGTGAATTACAGTCTAGCCTACAGCTTTAATTTTTCTTGTTGGTCATAAGCAAGGTCAACTCTGCAAAACTTTTACAAATCAGCCAAGGCTGGTTAGAGATTACTATGTAGCTGCACTCTAGGTATAGCTGTATACTCCTTGGGAAAATCTGGATCAGTGTATCTACAATATTCGAAGAATGTGAGCAAGAATTATTTACATTTCTTTAAAAATTATTTCATTATATATTGTACCTGACTTATTACTATTTATCTACTTTTTTGTAATAAATTCTATATTTGAGCAGTTTTTAAAAGCAAATATTTAATAAATTACATTTTGGGGTAGAAAGTGATTAACAGTGAACTGTAACTTACCATCATATTTTTCTTTTATACTTGACCAGGAGCTAAAAAATTTGTCGATTAGTAAGCCATCCAAGATGAATATACCCATTATTAAAGACGGAATACTAGATGCTGTTGTAGTCTGGTTTACACTGCAGCTTGATGATGAACTTACTCTTTCTACAAGTCCAAATGTGGACACCTGTTGGGAGCAAGCAGTCTATCCTGTACAAAGTCTCCTTGGTATGTCTTTCATTCTATTGAAACAAAAGTGAATTTTTTTTGTTAAAATGGAAAAAAAATGAAATTAATCATATAAAAGTACAGATTTATAGATAAAAATGTCATTTGATTACATGAACTTGTAAAAATAAAGATAGGAGGTTCTTTCTGAGATCCATACAGTACCTACCCTGTTAGCATTTTAAAGAGCCATGTTCTTCCAGGGTGGTTGGTGCTCTATTTGTTGGATGTCAATTATTGGGGCTTTGAGGGTTTTCCAGGTTCACCATTTTGCTCTGCTTTCTCTTCTTTGAATCTATTCTATTCCTTATTTGACTAATGCCATTTTTTATTGTTTTGATGTATTGTGCGCAGTCAGCATTTTTGGGAGTTATGAGACATCAAATTAGTCAAAGAAATAAAGGTTGCACAAGCTTTGGGGCAGTAGTGTATATCTCTGTCTTAATGTTACACACATGCGCACATACAAGTGTATTTTATCACATAGACATAACTTTCAAGAAGAACAGTGAAAAGTCAAAGGTTATGGAGATTGTGCCAAATTTTAGATATTCTCATCCTTGAAACAATAAAAAGAAAGAGAGTCCAACAAGGTTCTATTTTCTAGTGAAAGAATATGTTTTTCTTTTGGCTTTTTCCCCAACCAAAGGAACCAAAATACTGGAATAAAAGGAAAATGATTTAATTTATAATTGCCTGTTAGTAATTTAAATAATCTAGACTTTACCTTTGACTATTATTCTCTTATTTTGTTTTGAAGATATTATCTAACTTCAAAGGATTAAAACCTCCAAGAAAAGATTATGCTTACTGTATAAAAGAGAATAAATCTTCTCCCTGAGAGTTAGGGGATAGGTAAAACTAAATCTAGCTTCTGCCTATTATTCTTGATCAGGTCAGTTGTTGAGGCGCCTTGCACATATAGCTGATATATTCAATTCTCTTCTCTCTCCAGAGACACTGCACATAGGGAACCTGATTTATTAATTATTAACCTATAAATACACAATTACGGTAATAATTTAATAATTATTAACCTATAATACACAATTTTATTCTTTAAACAAAAAGAAAAAAAGTATTGAAGAACTCCACCGTGGAAAATACTGAACTTGTCAAAGTTCACCTATTTGGGTAAAACTAAATCATACCTGGAGATCCAAGAAATCAGAATACATATTGCAGAAAATTAGGAAGCCATATCTAAAAGAACTTCAGAACTAATCATAAATATCCCTAATTATAGAGCTTTAGGTTTCTTGCACTTAAGGTTTATTTCCTGTCTTACTTAACAACTTAGCCAACTGTTTTGAGTTGGCTAGCTCGTTTCCATTTTCTTCCTGTGACTTGGATTTAGTTAAATTTTATTGTTGTTTTCCATTCATCACACTACATCTCTTAATAAGATTTGCTTTTACAGAAGTAAATTAGTGATATTTCTTTATCTAATAAGTGAAATTTATAGATTTAGAATGGGTTTAGTAAAAGCAATCATAATGCTTTGTTTCATTAGGACTCAAGAGATAGTAATGAAGCATTTGGAAAGACTGAGAGATAGAAATAAACAACATTGAGAAAAGCGAAACCTAAATCTTGTAGCTGGAACTTTATAATCTGTTTTCATTCATAACTAGAGTTAGTCATAGCTTAGTTATTTGTGATTTTTAGTCAGCAAAAAAAGAGTTATGATTATTTGTTTTATTCCTATTTACACTGCCCGACTGCCAACAACTTTGGGTGGTTCACATAAGCATGTGACTATAAAATAATAAAACCACAGCAATAAAATAGTGAACTCAGAGATGACAAAACCCGGAAAGCAGCAAAGCACACACCCATTCTTACACCCAACTAGCTAAAGGCCTGAGCAAACAATCAGGTCTTCCACTCAGTTGGAAGCCACCCAGATCTGACAGTAAACATACTTGCATCCAAACTCAAGAAAACATACTTAGGAATATATTGTTAATTTCTAACAGTATGTGTATACAAATCAATCAAGTGAAGCACTTTAAGGACCCATTCCCTGAAACAGCTTCAGCCATTGCAAACTTGGTGCAGCTGTTTTGAGGCCTTCCCACAATCGTCTGGATTATACCTCAGCAGGAGGTTAGTACAGACCTAACCTCTAATCTCCGTAGCTTTCTATAATGGAATATTTAATAAATATAATACTCTTTGTGCTTTCTCCATTTCTTGAAGAATTAAATTGAAATTTGGATTATGGGAATTTGGTGGTTATCTTGGATAAAGACTGAAATGCAAATTCCACAAAAAGAGTGGGATTATGTAGCTAAGTAAAATACCTGTTTAAATGCCTGTCTTATCCCATTTTTCACCTTCCCTTTTATCATTTTAAACTATTTCATTAAAATTAAAATACGATTTTGAAGTAATTTTTACACAAATACTGAATGCCTGATTCAACTAGGCCTTTTTGTTTCCAATACTATCTTAGTTTGAACATCACTGCAAATTACACACTTAGTAATGGATTATTACTAAGTACACTATTGTTTAAAAATAACTATTTGTGGCTCAATATTATATAAATACACACAAGCAATGGCTAAAATAAAATATTTGCATAGTGCAACATGTAGATCTGTTTATCGTAAGCTGCTTGACATGTGTTGTCGAACTGCATTAAGGTTTACAGATGAATTATTCTCCAACAACTGGAAAACAATTATTTAAATCAGGACTTTTCAACCAGTGGTACAGTTTTCAACCAGTGGTACATTGGCACCTGGCAGGTGGTACGCGACCATCCTAAAAAAGTAGCGGGGGAGGGGAATGAGCTGAACAGGTGGCAGCACCGCACAAGCCTGAGCGAGCACAAGCCTGAGCGAGAGATGGCTGGAGCTGCAGGAATGTCAGGGCTCAGCAGAAGCACCAGGATCAGTGCCAGGCTCCAGCTGGAGCTCGGCGCTGATCCTGGCGCTTCTGCTGAGCCCAGAAGAAGCGCCGATCAGCTGGAATGTTGCAGCCTCTCCAGGTCTTGTGATTTACATTCAGATGCTTGGCAATTGATTCATATTTATGACGGTCAGTGTCCCAGGGTCATGTGAAGTGACCAAAACCTGCTGCAACCACCCAGCAGATGGGGGGGAATAAAAACCAAACACCCCCCACCCCGCTGCCAATCCTCAACAGAAATGCTCACAACAATGAAAACCTCGGACAGGAGGAAGAGCGCAGCTGGGTGGGCAGGCAGGTGTCTTGCCCGGCTGTGGCTTGGGGGGCACTTTTTTCAGTGTCATTGTAACTTCGAACAGTCACTAAGCGAACTGTTGTAAGTTGAGGACTACCTGTACTTCATCACTTTTTTCCTTTTGGGGGGGTCAAGTTTTTGACCCCTTGCTAGGCGACTGGTGGTACTCGGATGTTGCCATATCCTAAAAGTGGTACAATGGGTGAAAAGGTTGAAAAGCCCTGATTTAAATATTAAATATTTTTCAAAATGCATTTTAATAGCATTAGTTTGTATTTCAATTGTCATTTCTTTATGGTTTACAGATCATTCTGTGAAATCCGGAGATGGTGTTGCAATGGAAATATGCTGCCAGGACTGCTATCTAAGGATTCAAAAAATTTCCGTTAAGACTTCAGGATATGGAACGGATGTTGAAAGAAACTTGAGGGAGAAGACCAGTGAAGCTGAACTCTGCAGTGCTCTAGCCAGTCTTCAGACAGCAAGCACCCTGGAAAATGTCGGCCAAGAATGTATGCTAGAATCCACTGAAATTGCTTTATTAAATAATCTGCAGTATCATGAATCCTTTAAGATTGCAATAGGAAAAGTATTGTCATCGTTAAGTCACCAACATTCAATGGATGTTGTTGGTCACCATGAGCTTGAAAAGAACCAGATCAAACATTCTATAACTGTTGATCCTCTGTATATATTGGATGTATCAGAAGGCTTTTCAATTTTGCCAGTAATTGCAGGTAAATTTGGAGCAGTTAAAGCATACAGCTCTGTTGAAAAAGAAGAACACCAAGTAGCTCTCAGTTTGATTTCAGAAGTCAACCAATTTCCCAGAGAAACATTAGAGTTTTGGCTTAGTCATCTACAAGATGAAAACAAGGTACTACAAAGACCTAAATCTGACAAATTATGGAGTATTATAATTCTGGATGTCATAGAAACTTCTGGTTTAATTCAGCAGGATGTGATGGAAAAAGCTGCAATATCTAGGTAATGTAAGAAACAAGTTTCTTGGATTTTATTGCACCAATCAAGTTATATGACAAATATACTTATCAATAGGTTAATATTTGATTACATTTTACAATTTAGAGACCAAGTCCATCACAGACTGGTCAGCTTACAAATGTAAAAGCAAGAAATAGTATTAAAAGAACAAAGATCTTAATTGTCTGGGGAGAAAAATATTCATAGCAAATAAAAACCCTGCAGAGGCTTAATACTCAACCTTTCCCAAGGCCTGGGAGAATAGCCAGGTTTTCAGCACCTTTTAGAACATCCCTGGGATGGGAGTCATACATCTAGCTTTTCCAGAAGACAGGTGCTGCAACAAACAAAGAATACTTCCTAAGTACCACTAGATAATATGTTTAATTAAAGAGACTTGAGATGTGCCCATCCTGTCTAGTTTTACATTTTTAAAATAATGAATTTGCTGTTGTGTTTTTCAGTGTTGCAGAATTACATGGTCACATCAGAATCAAAAGTTGGGGTTTTAATGCCCAGTCAATGCATTTTGCTTAATTCATGCTACATATTTTCACCTAAATTAATGTTTAACAGTTTTAATTATTTCAACATCATTGTTTTTCAATCTTAAAGTCTACTATTTGGAGTCAAATGCAGAATGTATAAAGAACAATTGACCCTGTTGGACCTGAGGAAGTGGACAGGATCCTCCAGGTGGTCAGTGCCACCACCTGTCAGATCCTTGTCCCTCCCGGATAGTGGAAGCCTTCAGGATGGTGACTAGCAGGTTGGTCCAGGCAGTGATTAACACATCACTGGAGGAGGGGACATTTCCAGGGACTTTTAAGGAGGCCCTGGTTCACCCCCTTTTAAAAACCATTACTGGATCCCTCCTGCCTGGACAACTTTCATCCAGTTTCCAACTTCCCCGTTTTTAGGGAAGGTTGTGAAAAAGGTAATGGCCTGGCAACTTCAGAGGATGGATGAAACTTGGACTCCTTCAAGTTAGGATTCAGGACTGTTTATGGGACAGAAACTGCATTGGTCACACTTGATGATGATATCTGGTAAGAGTGAGATGGAGTAGTGCAACCATTCTCACTCTCCTTGACCTCTCAGCAGCCTTTGATATCATTGACCAAGGTATCCTTTGGGGCCAGATAGGGGGGCTGGGACTGGGCTGCACAGTTTTGTGCTGTTTAGGCTTCTTTGTCCAAACCAGTCTCAAGTGGAGGTGGTTGGATCTCTTAACAACAAATTTCACCTACACCCCCCCCCCGATGCTCCCCATCTTTTAATTGGGCCATTGTATTCTGGATTTTATATTAACTTAATTTGTTTTTAGTTTTATGATTGTAGGCTGTCAGAATTACTTTGAAGTAAGATGGGCAGCCTATAAATTTTATAAAGAAATAAAATCTGAGAATTTGTTTTCAGTATAACAACTAAGCTGCCATTTTTACACATTAAAATGTGTACTTACCTTTACCAATTTTCTGTTTCAGTATATTTAATATTTAGAAATATAAAAAACTAATATGCTGATGCTATTGTTAAACAACTGAAAAGTTGAAATATTTATTAGACTCTATACATTTTTATATTTAGGTGTTTGCTTCACTCTGGAGGAAAGATATTCCCACACCATGTGAAAATATATGGAATGCTTGTAGAATCCAATTTATTATTACTTGAGTCTGCTGTTCAAGGGACAGATCCCACACTTGGTTTCAACATAGCACCTTTTATCAACCAATTCAAGGTTTGAAACAATTTATATTTTTCTATATTCAGATAATCCTTCAAATATTGAGAAGCCAGAAAAAAGTTTTTAAAGACAAATCAATTCTGTGTGATCCCATTCGTATCCAGAATTTGCAAAGCTGCTTATTGAAAAATTAGAAAATAGATTAAAGAAAATAATGGAGACTTAATGGGCATGTATATGTTAAAAGTCTTCTAATGTTTTGTTATACAGTCTTCAAGCATACAATGATATGATAATTCAATAGAAGTACAATTTATGAGAAGCTAATGTAAATATGGTTAGTTTCAATAGTTTTGTTTTTTTTCAAAATTAAACTGGCCACCTGCTTTCATCTCCTGTTGGTAACTAATGCTGTTTGTTTACTTTTTTATTTATTATTCAAATTTATACCACTCCATACATTCCTGCCATTAAAACTTGATCATCTTTAATTCTATACTATTTTGATTGGAATAACTTGGAATCCTGAATTCTGTCAATAAAGTAGTACAATTTGCAGTTATTTTGCCACTATCAATATTGACACAGGGACATATTTACATAGTATAGGTTTAACACCAACAGTTTTATCCACACAAATTCTTAAGACTTAGAAATATGCATAAATGTCAGGATGGAACATAGATGGAAGATTTTGTTGTATGTTGTATTGTACTTCGTACAGAATCTTAAAACTTTCTGTTTCAGGTACCTATCCGCATTTTTTTGGATCTCTCCACACTCCCATATGTACCTTTAAGCAACTCAGTAGAACTTCTGCGAGTGGATGTCATGAATCCCCACTTGAATAACAGCAGTACTGAAGTTGAGGTAAGTCTACAGAATAGATATCCAAAAATTTATACAGCTTGATTGCTTTCTTGTTTATTTATTCTCAAATTTATATAGCTGCCCATCTCACAAATCAAATGACTCAACAAAGCATGCAACAATATTAAAAAAAAAATAGTTTCCAAGTAACTATTATTATTACTAAAACATTAAAAATGATAAAACACAGCAAAAAATGGCCCCAGATGTTAATAATAATAGAACCACCTCATTAGTTTGCCAAAATTAATTTGTAGAGTTTACTTACTTAGATCAGATTTATGCAAAATGCATACGTATTTATAGAAAAAAATCAATTTTAGAAGAAGCAGCTTTTAGTTTGAGTCCAACATCTTGCTTGTTGCTGGAATCCAAATTAAAATAGTCCAAATATATAGCTAATAACACTCTATTTTAATGTATTCAATGGAGTTTACCATTTGTCTGAGTGAATGAGTTGAACTGGCCATATTGTTATCCCTCTTTAAGATTTAGCGTGGCCAACTACATTAGTTCATGGGATTTAGTTCTAGTTTCCTGATCTACATTATTCTTCTATGAATAAGTTCCAGTTTCTCTGAATAGTTCTTAAAGTTGGACACAATATTTGATATGGGCTTGACCTGAATAAAATAGAATAAAATTATTACTTCTAATGATTTGGAAGTTTACTGATACAGCCTAAAATTGTATTGTCTGCCTCAGTCAGTTTGCAATCAACTATTATGCCAAAATATTTTTTTCCCCAATAATTATTATGCCAGATATCCATCATCCTGTATCTATGTTTGGATTTGTTTCCTCTGAATTTTCTGTTTCTGCTGACATTCTTTCATTCTGTTAATTTGACCTCATTTTTTTAAACACATCAAGATTGTTTTGAATTTTGTATTCTAGGGCAGGGCTTTTCAACCTTTTCACCTATTGTACCACTTTTAGGATATGGCAACATCCGAGTACCACCAGTCGCCTAGCAAGGTGTCAAAAACTTGACCCCCCCCAAAGGAAAAAAGTGATGAAGTACAGGTAGTCCTCAACTTACAACAGTTCGCTTAGTGACTGTTCGAAGTTACAATGACACTGAAAAAAGTGCCCCCCAAGCCACAGCCGAGCAAGACACCTGCCTGCCCACCCAGCTGCGCTCTTCCTCCTGTCCGAGGTTTTCATTGTTGTGAGCATTTCTGTTGAGGATTGGCAGCGGGGATGGGGTGGGGGGGTGTTTGGTTTTTATTCCCCCCCATCTGCTGGGTGGTTGCAGCAGGTTTTGGTCACTTCACATGACCCTGGGACACTGACCGTCATAAATATGAATCAATTGCCAAGCATCTGAATGTAAATCACAAGACCTGGAGAGGCTGCAACATTCCAGCTGATCGGTGCTTCTTCTGGGCTCAGCAGAAGCTCCAGGATCAGCACTGAGCTCCAGCTGGAGCCTGGTGCTTCTGCTGAGCCCTGACATTCCTGCAGCTCCAGCCATCTCTCGCTCAGGCTTGTGCGGTGCTGTCACCTGTTCAGCTCATTTCCCTCCCCCGCTACCACTTTTTTAGGATGGTCGCGTACCACCTGCCAGGTGCCAATATACCACAGGTGGTACCCGTACCACTGGTTGAAAAGTCCTGTTCTAGGGTATTATTCGTCACACCCAATTCAATAAGTGTTTTTCCACCTTTTTATCCAAAATCATTAATGAACTTTGGCTCTGTATTTCCTCCTTCAGAAGCATCTGTAACAAGCTATAAAAATGGCAAAATGACATGCACTTGTGCACATTATATACTTCTTTAGGGAATCATGCTCAATTTAATTTTATATAAAAAAAAGTTTACTGCTGAACAGTAATTTCACACCTATTAATTTTATAGGTGGAGATTTGTAAATCGGGTCAAGTGACTGGTATTCCATTTTGGTATCATGTATATCTGGATAACGATATTGTTTTGGATACATCAAGCAAGTCATCTCACTGGAAACAAGCGGCCATTGTGCTTGATAAACCCATTCAGGTTCAAAAAGGAGAAAAGGTTATTCTAAGTATTCAGTATTACAAAAGCAACATCAGTGTGGTAGTAAAACAGTAAAATATAAATAGCTTTTCTTAATTAGTTTTGAATGTCTAAATTCCAAATTTATGTTATATAATATAGTAATCTATGCAAAGTGTTGATTTTAAAATACTTGTTCAATTTGCAGAAGTTAATCTGTATAGAATATTTTATAATGTATAAAATGTTTCTCAATTACCAAAAAAATACTATGGACTTGAAGCATTGGTTTTTTTTTACATTGTAGAAAATTACTAAATAAAAAGTATAAAAATATAATTAAAATTCTACAATATGCCTGTTCTTTCTTACATTTGCAGATAACTAAAATAGTGAATTGACTGGCAAAGAAGGTAATACTGTTTTTTAGATCATTAGTCCTAAAAGATCTTGAAATGGTAATCATTAATTTTACAAGAGTGAAAATACAGTGCATTCAGAAAGTATTCAGACCTTCAGTTTTGTCAATTTTGTTATGCTGCAGCCTGATATTACAGTTGTTGAAATTCATTTTTCTCATTAATCTACACTTAGTATCCTATAATGAAAAAGTGAAAACAGAATTTTAGAAATGTCTGTAAATTTATTAAAAAGAAAAAAACTGAAATATCATATTGGCGTAAGTATTCAGATCCTTTGCAACAATACTTGAAATTTAGCTCAGATGCCTCCCATTTCTCATGTTTCTAAACTTGTTTGGAGTCAACCTGTGATAAATTAAATTGATTGGACATGATTTGGAAAGGCACACACCTCTCTATAGAAGGCTTCACAGCTGACAATGCATACTGTAGGAAAGCAAAAGCCATGAAATCAAAGGAACTGCCTGCAGAGCTCAGAGACAGGATTATTGCAAGGCACAGATCTGAGAAAGGCTACAATAAAATTTCTGCTGCACTGAAGGTTCCTAAGAGCATAGTGGCCTCCATAATTCTCAACTGGAAGAAGTTCGGCAGGACTCTTACAAGACCTGGTTGCCCAGTCAAACTGAGCAATCCAGGCAGAAGAGCTTTAGTAAGACAGGTGACCAAGAAACTGATGGTCACTCTGACTGAGCTCTAGAGAACCTGTGTGGATATGGGACAGAGGTCCAGGACAACCATCACTGCAGCCCTCCACCGATATGGGCTTTATGGCAGAGTGGCTAGACGGAAGCCTCTCCTCAGTGTAGATTAATGAGAAAAAAATGAATTTCAACAACTATAGAACCAGGAGGCAGTATAACAAAAAGTAAAGGGGGTCTGAATACTTTCTGAATGCACTGTACCTTGCCACAATATGATGTATAATGTTAAAATGATTCTAGTATAAGTCTTCATTTTTAGAGAACTTCCTGATAGGAAAAAAGGCATGTTCTTGTTCAAAACTATTTTATAATACATAATACAAAATAAAGAGCAGAGTATATATTTATTTTGTACCTCATCCAATAATCATTTTTATTTAGCGTATTTTTGTCAATTCCCATTAAAGCTCTATTTCCTATTTAAAGAAAAAGAGCCTACATGCCAGCACCATCTGATGTATTCAAAATAACAGCAACTGGAACCTCAACTGGAACTTTTAAAACTTTTAAAGGGAGTTTTCAAGACTCACAAGAGCAGCTGAATAAAATGCAGTAAATATCCAATTTATTGTCTCATTTATCATTTCTTAATCTAAAGTCCTAAATGGCTCTTTTAACTAGCTGGATCTTCCTTTTTTATGTAAGAAGCATAAAAAAAGGTGAGGGGAATAATTGTGTTTGCACTTAGGAATTTGTTGACAAGTTATCTGAAATGATGCATATGAACAATACAGAACAGAAACCAAAGTTATCAGGAACCAGCCTGAGAGGAAAAAGAAATGCAAGGGGAACAAAAGAAAAAACAGGAATATATATATAAATGCAGAGAGAGAGAGAAAGGATGCTAAGAACCATTGCCTAAAAATTGCCTATAAAAATACTTCCATATTGCAACAGTAGAAAAAAATAGATTGAAAATTAAGAGCAAAGGCATGCATTTTTACTCATTTCTTGCATATTAATATTAGATTATAAAGGGGCAGCAGAGTAATATACTGTAAGTAAAGTAATGTAAGATGCTAATGAATAATTTATTGGGTTCTTTTACAGCCTGGTATCAAGGAAATTCAGATTCTTCATTAGAGCCAACAACATTTTTCTATTTTATTAATGGGCAGAGCAAGAGGATTATTTTCCTCAATGTTAGAAGAATGCAACACAAAATTTAAATAAAACTTTATTTACTTATATACAGTATGAGACAATAAGTATCTCTTTGCCGCTTTAATCAATTTCACTTAAGGACACAATGAGGTTAAACAAAATATGTAGTCCACTAAATAAGGCCAAGTAATTACATACTACTGTAAAATACTTGTAGCATGACTTTACCCACTTCAAGATTGATTAAGAAAAACCTCATGTTTGAATATTAAAACATTGAGCTCTTGAAGGTGCTATTTCAAAAATACAATTCTTGGTGCAAATTTTTATATGTGTAACATGGCAAGCATGCAAAACATGTATAAACATGATAAAAAAAATTGTGAGAAAACCTAAAGCCACATTAATTTATTACATCCATATATTTTACAACTGTATAATTGTTTCTATCTAGACAAATATCTTCCACTTGATAGTGCTAACTAGAATGTTTTTAAACTCATTCAGTAGTGTATAACATACACTTAATACAATCTTAATAAAGATTTCAGATCAATGTTTTTCAAGCTTGGAAACTTTTAAGATGTGTGGACTTCAATTCTCATAATTCCCCACCCTTCATGCTGAATTATGGGAGTTGAAATCAACAATCTTAAAGTTGCTAAGCTTGAAAACACTGTTTTAAATTATTGAATCTTCAAGGCTAACTCAAATAAATTAACTTTTCTTTATTATATGCTGATCATGCCTTTTTTAAAAGAACAATTTTAAGATATGTCCTAGTAGTCTTTAAATATTAGCTTTGTAAAGATTCTGGTATATTTGACTGAGGGGGGGAATCAGAATTTGAATCCTATTTAAAAACCCTTCCCATCTCAAATCTCAACATATGTTCTCATTTATTGTAAAAATTCTGTGCCCGTGAGTTGTTTTGAACTGTATACAATATACATTATGTGTTCCATAGTATTTTATTTCTACTTAAATTCAATATTTATGTACTATATTATAGCACTAAAACTATGTTTTTTATGCATGGTAACTTCATCAAATGACAAATGCATATTTTTTCACTTTAGTTGAGAGATTAAAAGTAAAGCCCAACCATCTGACTTATTTTAGTATTTTTTCAATAATTAATCCTACTGGAGAAAATGTACTTCCAAAATAAGAGTAGCAGATCGTAATGTCTAAGGAAGGCCCCTTGAGCAAAGAGAGTTTTAAATTTTATCTATACGTTTGTCTGACTGAACAGAAAAATCCTCATTCTCTTCTACAGAATTACACAAATCAGCAGCTGTAGGGTCAGAAGGCGTTGTTGGAGTCAGAGTATGTCCAAATCCTTGGTAGTGACCAACAGGTGATGATGGTACAGAAGTAGCAGTAGAAATTGGGTCTTGACTGGATGTTGACAACAAACTTGTATGTTCATTTTGTTCATGATCCTCACCAAAAAACATTTTCCTTGGCTGACCAAATACTGTCCTTCCTAAAGACAAAATTTTTTAAACACAGTCATTAATTAAACATGATAAAAAATTAAAATATTAACTGAACAACTAAAGTACTTATATTTAATAATTATTTGCTAAAGATATATTTTCATTTGTTGCTTACCAACATTGCGAACTTGTTCTGTTACATCTGCTCTGATATCTGAAATATCCCACATTGCAAGAAACGAATCAAAACATGATCCTTCTTCAGCTTCTTGCACATAAGGCTTGTAGGTAAAACTGTAATGATGAGCAATTGCAGCAAAGAACATTTCGACACAGATGATAAAATCCTAAGAAAAGAAAAATTAATTTTATTCCTATTCACTCCATAATTAAGCCACTTCAAACTGTAGGAATTTCTACTTTAATGACCATTTTTATGTACAATATTTTTAGAATGGCATGCTTTCACCAATTAAAATCAATTGAAAAAAACAGTTTTAAGGACTAGCAATGGTATGAGGGGCATGACCAACCATAATCCCACTATTGTTTCTTAAGGAACATCTAACCCAAACTCTAACCTCATAAAGAACTGAGGGGAAAATCCAATATCTAGTTCTCTCTTCAGGGCTATAAACCTGTTTCTACTCTCAAAACTGAGACGCCATCAGTTCTTGATTCTGGGTATGCCATCCCATGGGCAATAAATGTAACACCCAATAAATACTGCAAATCATGATTCTACACTTCATGGGATTACCTTGAATACAGACCAGAAGTTTCATCCATTGCAAAATACAACTATCCTCACTACTGAACAAATATATGCATGAAAACAACTAATACTGGTTCTAAAGCACTGCAATAAATATCATCTGCCAGCCCCAGTGTAAGATATCAGCATTAATCCATAAAGGCTGCACACTTTGATTCACATACTTATAAAATTGTCTACCCCGTACATTAATATCAATTAGCTGCAGAGGCCCAATTTGTGATTTTGCAATTAATATGCCCTACAATGTGGTGAACAGGAATTGGTCTTCTCAATAGGAATATCCCAATTACCAAATCTTTTCCATAAAAGGTTAATCTGCCCCCACTTCATCTATCTTCTTTCTAGGAGCAAAATTGCTTTTCTTATTGCTTTTCCTTTTAATGTATTTATTATTTTTTATTAATTGGTTACTTTAATATTTTTTTTCTAAACCACTGTGGACTCCTTTGGAAGATCAGCATCACTTATAAAAGCTATGCAGGTACACTGTCCTTTCCCCCCCCCATATACTCTCATACTACACCAATTTTTATTGGTCCAAGTATGTAGAAACCTTAAGACTGTTTCCACTTAAGGAGTAGGCCTATACATTTCTAGATGTTATATTAACTACTGACCAATAGGAAACATTACATGACCAGGTTTGTCATTATTAAAGCATATTGGGATACTGCTGTAAACTCATGGGAATGCTAAGGCATATTTTAAAATTTTTGAGGGAAATATACTGGGTGTCAACGCTGCTAACATCGGATGTTCTTGCTTTGACAACAGATGGAAATGCAGCCATTTTCTCTACTGCTTTTAGAGTTCGTTGATGCTGGGAGGGGGAATAGGGATGAGAGTCCAGCTAGTCATAACAATAATAACTCAATCGTGGGAACCCAAGGATAATTGGGCCCAGAGCTGATAGTGTAGTGTTTTGGGGGCTGGAGAGCTGGGGAGAAAGCTCGCACTTCAAGCTAATTGGGGAATGTGATTTATGACTGTTTATTGGAAGAGGGAATTGCACTTTGTTACTTTGTATCCAGGGGAGGAGAATTTAGTTTTTGGTTTCAACTATGTAGTGCTGATACTTTGTTTCTCAAATAAAAGATTCTTTAAGGTAAACAATGCCTCGAAGTTCTTTTGAAGAGTTTCATCTATCGGAACCATGACACTGGGCACTACATGTGCTACCAACTCAAGAGATCACAGATTTATCTAAGGAGACCATGAAAAAATTAAGACACTTAACACTGCCATGAACCAAGAAAATGTGGGAACTTCTGCTTTATTGGGATAGGTTTAAATTAAATTTGTATTAATCCTTTAGATTAAAGGATTGAATATAATATAGAGAGATCATATGATACCTACACAGTAAGGCTGAAAACATTCATGTATTGCCTCTTACTAATCCATAGCTAAGATAACATTTATAGCATCGTCACTCCTATTATGTAGGAGAGCTTATGCAGCATAAGGGAACAAAAGATGGTTAAAAAGCTGGTTTAACTTACTTGCAGACCAGTTGCTACAGCTTCAACACTCTGCCATTCCCATGTGTGCTTTTCAGAAATAATACCAACTTTCACCAATATTGCAATAAGTACAGCTTGCCTGTTTTAAAAAGATGAAATTATCAAACAATTTGGTTATCACTTATAAAATTATATTGCCCATATAAAGAAATTATGGAATGATACAGTACATATATTTTCAAATGAAAAAAATACATATAATAAAGTTTGAAAGACTATAATCATAAACCAGCAGTGAAAGAAGAACTAGGATTTGTAGTCATTTGGTCCAAATAGATATTTAAAAAAATGTGCATTCACCAAAATAAATTAATAAAAGAAAAAAATTAAGTTTAATTACACATTGTCCCAAAACTCTGGGGCTTGCATATTAACATAAGTTCAGCATGAAATCAAAATTTGCACTGAAAAAAACAACAGAATTTTGTCTTTTAAAAAAACTCAGATATTAACAAATTTCTAACCAAAATGATGGAGGAAAACTACTTGTAGATGTATCCTAAAGTATTATACTGCTCCACATTTTCTCAAAGAATTCCAAATTTCAATGACATAAGTTGAAACTGAAATTTACTGTGACATAAGTTGAAACTGACATAAATAAATGGTATTTACTGATGTCAGTTTCAATTTAACTCACAGTAAATTGGAATTCTTTGACAAAAAAGTGAGTGGTATTAGTATTTTTGACCCTATCTGTACTGCCAATAAGTTAGATTTCTACTTATAGTTTAATTTATATAAGAGACTTCACAAAATATATATATTTAGTTAATATTTTAACTTATTTCACTTACCAGAAGGAAACAAAAACCACCATTTTCACACAGAGAAATTTTCCTACAGGTCGGATTGGGTTCAGTTCTTCTCGCAGTACTTTATAAAATAACACAAGGCAATACATGGCAAACTAAAACAGAGGGATAACAATGCTTATCTGCCATTTCAATATTTGGACTGTTTTTATTCTTTATATCATAACATTTCAGAAGTTATTAGGCCAACATATTGTATCTATGTTCTGTGGGATATCAAGAAAAGGACTGCTACCTTATTCTTGCATGAATTATTTTAAAAACTTTATATTTCTTTTTCAATAAATAGAGGACTTCTGACATTTATGATAACATTCATTCTAAACAAACTAATTTTATAAACTGTATGCAATCTCTAAGAGGGATGAAGAAGACTAAATTGTATTCTACACACAATAGTGTAATATACCTAAAAAGGATCAAATATCATTGTCGATCTCCTTTCATAAATTTCTCACTTGCATGCAATTCCACCAATATTTAATACCATGAAATTAAATATCATGACATGCTAAATATATTTCTAGATGTATCTGTTAAGAAAATGCATAAGACTGTTTACATTTTTCAGATAATTTTCTTATCAAGAATCTGAATTTAAAATAAAAGGCAAAAGCATTATTTAATCTCACTGTAAATAGAAAGAATATCAAAGTTTCACTACTTACGAGCTGGGATATATTGTTGATAAATACCAGGTAGGTCCAGGCATTTTTAAAGCTAAAATTTCCTTCATCATAGACACCAATCAATTCACAGATTCTGAAAGAATTGAACACAAATTATTGCAGAGAAACTCGTGCAGTACAGCTGAAACAGAGCTAGTCTTAGAGACTCACTCATTTATGATGGATAAATTCTAAACAAATAAGAGAGGACAAGATACATAGTTTAATATGGTAGATGAAACTTGTAAAATATCTCTGGCTTGATTGTATAGTGTTTTACCTATAGAAATTTTGTGAAGCTACTGGAGCAGGGAGTAAAAAGGTGACTGGATCCACAACTACTTAATCTTTTAAAAAAAGAAATATTTTATTAAAAGTGTTTTTCTGTGGTCGTGCTTTTAATACCAGCGTCATAGACTAGGGTCGTGGTGGCGAACCTATGGCACGCGTGCCACAGGTGGCACGCAGAGCCCTCTCTGTGGGCATGTGCACCGTCGCCCCAGTCCTAGGCCTTCAGCTGGGTTTTATAAAACTTTTTCACTTTAAGTCTCTGCCGCTGTGTGAAAAAAAAAAGATTCAATCGATCAATCAATTTCAACTCGTGGGGAAAAAAAGATCTCGCAAAGTTGGAATTGATTAAACTTTTTAGTCCCACCCAGTCTGCCGTTACCACTGCAGCCACGCCCACCAATGGGCCACGCCCAGCCAATGGGCCACGCCCAGCCGGCACCTGATGATACATGGGTTTTGGGTTGCAGTTTGGACACTCGGTCTCTAAACGATTCGCCATCACTGGACTAGGGGTTCTGTTCTTTTATTTTCCATTCCTGAATTGGGAATGAATTTTGAACAAATTATAATCCTGTACTGATACAAGGTAGACCCAAAAATATTCACAAAATCTCATATATTTTGGCAACTGTTAAGTTTTAAGATTAGATGGGATCTTACCTATTTTGTCTGCATAGCTGTGTATTACATTAACAATTCTTGGTTTAAGTATAGCAGGAGAAAACACTAAATTCTAATAGCAAAACATTTCTTGTATTATTTTATACTTACAAAGCAGTAATAGTAGTGAATGGTCTGACAACTGTATACTGTAGAACACCAAGCTTACACCTAAACAACAATACCCTACAGAAAAAGCACAGAAAGACTTTAAGAAGTTAAGCAATATAAGCAACAATGTTGCATTGTAAGCAACAATTCTAGTTAGAATCTGGAATATGGCAACTATCTGTATGATTGGAAGGCAAAGACTAGAGTAGTGGCTCTCAACCTTTTTACCACAGAAATAAATTTTGTGGCCATGGACCATGGCCACTGCCCCCCAAGATTTAAGATTTAAATTATAGCATTTCTTCGTGGATCCCTGGTGACATCACAGCTCCCCAGGGCTCCATGGACCACAGACTGAGAACCACTATACTAGATAAAGGGATCAATATAATAAAAATAATAAAATATCAAAACAGCAACAACAGTCAAAATTAAACACTTTTTAAAATCAGTCTGTACTTAAAATAACATTGTTAGTATTCTTTGTTTAACTTTTATTCATGTATAGTTCCATTTACGTTAACAATATCCAATCACTAAAATAATTAGTTTAGAACATTTTCCATCTGAAAAATGTTATCTTTCAAAAGCCCAATTATTACGCTCTCAGCCATTTATATGAAGTCATGAAATAAATTTGTTCTTCCAATAATTAGCCATTATTGTAATTACCAGCAAGCACTTGTTAACTAATTACTGATGTTCTCAGTCTATTCTTCTAATATTTTTCCCAATATATTTTTGCCTTCTTGTAGGTCCACTATGTAAAAGGATTATACATCAGTAGATAGTCCATTTTCATCAATACATAGACAGCATTTTCTCCCGAAAATAGTGTACATTTAAATAATTTTTCTTCCCATGAAACATTTAGGATATATTTAGAACTCCTCCTACTCTAGCTATTTTGAGTGTTACTGGCTTCATTCACACAATAAGCTAATGACAGTTCATACTAACAAAATGGAGACAAACTAATATTCTAGCATGGAAATTATTTATTGATGAATGCCATGTAAGACAATGAGTAAGTGCTAACGTTTCACTAGCTATGGCATAATAAAAAAAGCAATATTAGGCTTTAAAATGTAAGACCATGGTCATTAGCTATCAATACAAGGCAAAAAAAATCATACAATTAGCTTGGAAAATGTCAGCATCCTGCTATGATAACAGAAAAATCTACAGACAGTAAATATTAATAAGCGTATTAGTAATTAGATGAGGATAACGATTGTGAACAGTTATCTACATAGTGGTTAATGACTGATTGTAACCATAGTGATGGCTTCACAGCTGCTATAAGGAAATGGCATATTGTTGCAAAGGTAAGTTCCAGATCTGTTCCAAAACTACTTCACCTGGCAATTATTTTAGCAAACTACAATACAGTTCTATATAAACTAATCCACAAGTAGATGTAAAGTATATCTACAGTTTGTAAACCATTACTATAAACCACTGTCATGGTTAAGCTGTTCTCCTTCCCTTCAACTGTAAACTGGTAAGTAAGTAAGTTCTACCTTCCATTAGAATTGCATGTTTTGTTAAAACTTGAAAGATTCTTAGTTAACAAAATAGAAGACTACAGTAGGATCTATTAAAAATAGGAAGCCAACATACTTATCTAGACATAATAGAAAACTCTAACTTAATGTAAATAGTATCTTTTCACTCAACTGGCATGAAACAGGAAGAACTAAGTTCAAATTTTTTACCATAGAGGACAGTTAAAGGAGACAATGATATGCACAACTCAAGGACACAATTTGTCTCTAGAATATTAATTTACTATTCCAAGAGAGAGAAAGAAGGAAAAAGAATAGCCGGGGGGGAGGAGGGGAAATACAAAGACAAATCAAAAAGAAAAAATAAAACAAAAACATAGTTTGTTATATGTAGAAAACCATTCACTTCCTAAAGTACATCATTAAACCTTGATTACAGAGGATAAAGAGAACAGCAATCCAGACTGTAAATCTGTAATTGCACTGACTTTCCAATATTAAAGAGTATTCTATTTTGCTGCTGCTTGTACACAATATGTGCATAATTCTTGACATAGTAGTAAGTTCCAAGCTTTTGATTTATGATTCAAAAGTGCAATCACATATTTAAAGCATACTGACCTCTGTATGCTTTATATTAAGAAATGTATGGATATTAAACCAAAATAGGGCAATAGTGATATTAGGCAATATTATGGGAGTAATTGTCCTTTCACCCATGAGAGCCAACATTCAGGGGTATCTACTAAATATGAAAATATACCTTTTGTTAAATTAGTATCATCTTAATGTAAGAAACATACTTAACATTATTTAAGGCCTTTAGCCATGGTTTTCTAAGATGGAATATTAGGATTGTTTCAGAGGTCTTACGAATAACCAATATGGATATTAGCAAATTTTAGGTATTTATTTAAAAAATACTGTTGACTCACAAATCAAATTCCACTATGGATAGTGTTCAGGAATTTTAGATGTTGCTAAATTTTATTGGAAAGGCTAATAAGAATAAAGTATAGAAAAGAATATCTCATCTGTTATTTCATATTCAATTAAACAGACATCGCTCTCCTTGGAAAATGGCTTGCTATGGCATTGAAATATTTAAACAGGGAGAAAATTCTGCTTATTTCATCCCATTCCTTCTCAAGGCAAGTTGAACCATCATTGCAAGGGTATATTGCTTTTTCACTCTTGCTTTACAATATTAGAAGACAATTGCCCCCCAGCTTTTTGACATAAATGGTCAGAAACCTCTGCGTAAGCAGTTATGAATCTAAATATAATATAGCATCTTGAAACAATACTTAACTCTATAATAGCAAAATCAATAGAACTACATTGCACTAAAAGTCTTTAAAGATTTCTGTTACTAAAGCAGTCCTGAGAAAAATCAATATTTGTCTACATTATTTAGAACAATAAAGTGCGTTATTTAAATTTCTTGAAATCTGGGTTTCTTAACTCAAAAGAAGGGAAATATTTTAATAAATTAGTATTAGAGGCAATTTCTAGTACAAAATGTGAAAACAACAGAAAAAATATATGATGCACTTACTCTCCCATAGCCCATGGTGGACAGCAACACAATGGTGGCAGATGTCGCTGCTGATCTTTGGCTTCTATGATTAATACCAGATTTGGATACCGGTTGATAAGATAATTTGAAAGAAATACCATGAAGTTATAGATCACATACGCTTCATAGCATTCTCTACAAGTATCCACATATATTGCAATGTTGGGATATTTCAGTGCTATCCACTAATAAAGAAAAAGAACAAGCAATGAAATAATATTACTCAAAATAATTTAAATTGAAATTCAATTCTAAACATACTATATCTCAATATTGCAGATAAACATTTAACAACAAAAAGCCTTTACAGCTAGTTTTCAAATATAGTATCAAACATAAGCAACAAAAGTCAAGAGTTCATTATCCTGAGATATGCACATTTATTCTCAGTTGCATAACTGAGGGTTAGGAGAAATTAATCTATGCACATTTTTTTGTTCATGTTTCCTTCAGCTTTTTTCAGATGTCCCTAAAAGAATTCACTGTAATCACACGTCTATTACATTTTTACAAAAAGTAATTTTTTTGTAAAAATGTAGATTTTATAAAACTTACAAAAATATCAGCAACATAAAAAGTTGCAATTATTCAAAGATTTTCTACATAAAATAATTGTGCAACCTAACAGACTAGAAAAGAAAAGCACTTACACTGTCTAAACTGTAAATTGGCACCATCCATAGAATTCTGTAACGATAAAAACATGTTTGCGTGTTATGAGATTTTAATTTAAAGTGTCTGGATTGCTATCGAAGCATAACCAGCTATCATACGTATAGAAACTTACCTTATTATTGGTTTCTGTAATTCTGGTTGAGTATAATGAACTAAATGTTGTAATATCCCCCAAAGAGATATTGGTATTGTCATCAATAAAAAGATACCAGCAATAAACCATGCTTTAGTATGAACTCCAACCTTTAAAAAACAGATATACACATGCATTGAAAGGACAGCATAGGAACATTGATAGATTAAAAAATAATGGTCCTACACTGATAAAGCAGTCTGTAATCTTATCAGTACAACTCTCTGAAATAGTCCATTTTTATAGACAAAATATGCATTACAAATGTCATTTCCTTGCAAATTGCGATTAAAACAGATGTAAATATAGATAAATATACATAGGTCTCAACCAGACATAAAAACTGCAGTATTTACAATTACATCCAAATATCTACAATAACTATTTTCCATTAAGTCACCCACAATGTATTCACAACATAGCATATTTCTCTGCTTCTACATTAATATTTCTAAAAGTACATCATCTAGTAGGTCTACTATATACAGTATACATTGTGCAGTATGCAAAATACATATTGCCTCAGATTGCCAGTAAAACTTAGAAAAAGTATGATGCAAACAAATGAGGAATATGATATAGCTGGAAGATAGAATATTGTAGTAAATGTTTTAAGTGTTTCTAGTTTTCATATTACATTGAAGAATTCCTTATATCAGAGGTTCCCAATCTTTTGGGCACCAGGGACCAGTTCTGCGGAGAAAGGTTTTTCTGTGGTTTTGTGTGTGGTTTTGTGTGCTGCCTGTATCTCACAAGCTTTGGTTGCTTGTGCGGCCCGCTTGCTGGCATGCCGCAGCCTGGTACTGATCCACAGACCAGGGGTTGGGGACTCCTGCCTTTTATTATATGAACAATTCCAAGTAGATAAAGCAGAAATATTGTAACAAGTTTCTTCATTCACAATTTTATGACAGATCTAAAAAATCAAAGCATTAAATTCAAGAAAAGATCTAGATTGTGAATAAATTAATTACTTCAGGTCCAGGATGGGTAGTAAAGCTTTCTGTATCAACACATACTCTGTAAGTTATAAGCCATTGATAGATATGAAATGTATTTCCAGGTATTTGTTTCCCATAGCATAAGTAGGAATAAACACAAGAAAGCAGAAAAGTCAGAAATGTCTGGTGTATTAGGCAGTTAATCTGTGTGTGGGTGCAGATGTTTTGATTTTGATGAATCAACTGCTACTCAACCTAAATAAGCAATGATGAATAGCTGCAGGGAAAGTTGTCTTTCATATACCTTAATATTTTTCACCTGCGAAAGATAATTATCAGGTAGTGCTTAGAGTTGGGACTGGTAATATGTGGTCATCCAGATTTTTTTGAATTCTTAGCAGACTAATCACCATGGCTAATGGCGAGAGGTACAAACTTGTGGTCAGATGTTCTAAATTCTCAAGATAAAATGTGAACAATATATGAAACACAATATGTGAAGATGACAGTAACTAGAGAAATAGGTTTTATGTCTTTTCCCTACTTCTTAGTAACATAAATATCATATGAAAAATAAGAATATTTTAGCTTTGTTTTAAAACTTCATCAGTTTTCCCAACAGCTCCAAATGAAGTGTGTAAAGAAATGTCCCATTTAGTGTTCCGCAAAACTGGCTTTATACAAAATCAGTCCAGTATCTTGATACTACAATTTACTCTATATGAGGTGCAAGCTGTGTGTGCATCCCACCAAGTATCCTTTTGCAACCTCTAGAACTGTCTGTATAAGGAGGGGAGAGGAGTAGAGGGAGAAATGAGAATGTAACTTTTGCTATGCACTCAAGGCATTTCAATCTTGTTGCAAAGCTACAGTCAATTTTAACTAAGCTTTAAATTTTAGATGAAAGTATTTCTAGCCAGAATTAAACTTCACAATGTCTAATCTATTACTGAACAGTACTGTCACTGTTAACTAAGAAAGGTGCAGCTTCCAGTTTTCTAACCCATAAAAATTAAGACAACGGCTAAAGCAGTGTTTCTCAACCTTGACAATTTTAAGGCATGTGGACTTCAACTCCCAGAATTGCTGGCTGTGGAATTCTGGGAGTTGAAGTCCACATGCCTTAAAATTGTCAAGGTTGAGAAACACTGGGCTAAAGCATAACCAAGACACTTTGATGCCACCTCAAGAGTCTTCAAAATTTTTGCAGCCCAGGTCTGGTTAATCCTAAACAAAGGTCACCACAATTTGGCCCCTGAATGCTTTCAGAGTTCGGATCTCTCCGATTGGATATGAGTGTAAGTGGAGTTTGCAAAAGTTTTTTAGGTTTTAAATCAAATACAATGTGAACTAGTAACTAGAGAAGTATATTTGATGTCTTTTCCCTACTTCTCAGTCATGTAAATATTCCCAAACAAGTTCGCCAACAGAGACATCAGAAAACCCAGTACTGAAAACATCCCTTTCCCCGCGGGAAACTGCCTCCCAGACCCCGATCCGTTCAGACGGCCGGAATAGGGTGGTCGTAATTGCCGAGGGGGGGGGGGACATTACGTCCTGTAAGACGCCAGATCGGGACAGCTCCGTCACTACTGTATTGCGCACTTCGGGAAATTACCGAGTAGAGCAGTGTTTCTCAACCTTGACAATTTTAAGGCATGTGGACTTCAACTCCCAGAATTCCACAGCCAGCATTGCTGGCTGTGGAATTCTGGGAGTTGAAGTCCACATGCCTTAAAATTGTCAAGGTTGAGAAACACTGGAGTAGGGGGTGGGGGGTGCGGCGGAGAGGAAGGAGGTCCCCTTCCCCTTCAAAGTCCCGGAAGACCAGCCATTGCAGAGGCAACAAGGAAGGCAGGCCGCCGTTTCTCCCCTCGCAGACGCAGGGGGGCAGAGCTGACTCACCCTCCGGCAGCGCTCGGAGCAGAAGGTGGGGGTGGGTGGGAGAAGCAGAGCGCCCCCTCCCCCGGCCCGCGCGGCGCCCGCCCTCACGCACCTCCAGTTTCTGCAGCTCCCAGACGCAGAGAGGCACGGCCACCAGCAACCCCACCAGGTACACCGTAGCCACCAGCGGCCGGATCCAGCGTCGCCAGTTGCCGCAGGTGCAGGGCATGGTGCCGTTGGCTCAGACCCTCAATGCCACCTCGGTGCGGTCGAGACCGGTCGCCGGTTTAAGAACTGGCCAGGAGGGCCACGCAGGTGCATCGCCGCAGGCTGCCTCCAGCCCCGCCCTTCCGTCGCCATCCGCCGCTCGCCTGCTGCCCCGCAGCTGCCCCGCGCGAACAAAGCAGCCCGCTCTTCCCCTCCCCGTTCTCTCCCACTCTCCCGGCGCGGAAACTCGCGCGGGCTACTCCCGCCCCCGAGCAGGGCCAAAGCAGCAGTACTTCCGGCTCTTTGAAATAAACAACTCTCTCCCCGCCCCCCCATCAGCAGCCGGGACATCATTGGATGAGGCTCAGATCACGTGACGGTCACGTGGTGTTTCTTGGTGTACCTTATACTCTTCCAGGCGGGTTCGTGGATGGTGGTAGAGTTGGTGTGGATTGTAGGGCTAATGAAGACTTTCCTGAAAGTTGATTTCCACCTACAACAATAGATCTTAGTGATTGGTCCCATGATGCAAGAGCTTTACCTGCTTTCTTTTATAGTGCTTTCCTTTGGAATTGATGCAATCCTATGAAACTTCACATTTTAATGAGTTTAATCTAGTCCTCAATGAGTGAATGTTGTTTAGGATGTGACATACTCTTCTAAGGATGATGAATATACTTTTCTCCATATCTACCTACCTTACTGTGACTTCTCTTAATAATAATAATAATAATAATAATAATAATAATAATAATAATAATAAATAATAATAATAATAATAATAATAATAATAATAATAATAATAATAATAATAATAATAATAGAGTTGGAAGGGACCTTGGACCCCCCTGCTCAGGCAGGTAACCCTATACCATTTCGGACAAATGGCTGTCCAGTTTCTTCTTAAAAACTTCCAGTCTTCATGAATCCCATAACCTTAATGTCCCAAAGGTGCTTTTTTTTCACAAGGCAACTGGACTTTCTTGTTTATTTCTTTGAAGATGTTTCACTTCTCATCCAAGAAGTTTCTTCAACTCTGTGTCAAAGCAAGAACAAACTCTTTTGAAGAGTTTCATCTGTTGGAACCATGACACTCTGACTGGATGATGGGGAATGGAAGGATTTATATTCCTTACAGACAGCTGGTCATTTGCACTCTTTTAGAGAGTCATTGACACCATTCGGCGGTTTGTATCATCAGGGTCACCTGAGTAGTGCAAAAGGGTGTGGAGCCTTCTTGGAACTGCTGAAAGGACTATGTTGTATACTGGAGATAGAGTATGTCATATCCCTCCACCTCTGTTGAGAGAGGGCTGTTCAATTTTGACATAAATGGCCCCTTTGACCCCTCTTTCAAACCAGCGGTCCTCCCTGTACAAAATGTGGACTTTGCTGTCTTCGAAAGAGTGGCCTTTGTCTTTTAAATTCAGATGGACTGCTGAATTTTGTCCTGATGGGTTTGTTCTCCTATGTTGTTGCATGCATTTATGAAGTGGTTGTTTTGTTTCTCCAATGTACAATGTACAATCCTTCCATTCCCCACCATCCAGTCAGAGCTTGCATGAAGCAAAACATCTTCAAAGAAAAAGCAAGAAAGTCCAGTTGCCTCGTAAAAAAAAAGCACCTTTGGCACAACCATGACCTGGATGATTGAGAATCTCCATAGACATAACCTTAATGCTTCCACAAATTTTCCAGTCTTTCCTTTTTTCCATTCCTCTTTCTTCATATAGCAGATTGATTTTGTGATTCAATCTTCATTAATGCTGTCTATATATGACCAAGCCATCCCAAATTACTTCTTTTGTAGACCATGTGTTTTGTGTTCATTCAGCACACATTCATTACTGATACTGACTCTTCTTGTTTTTTATACTTAAGTATACCTTTATACTTAAATTATCCTTTTAAACCAGAGGTCCCCAATCTTTTGGGCACCAGGGACTGGTTCCGTGGACAGAGGTTTTTCCGCAGCCCGGAGGGTGCATGATTTTGTGTGCTGCCTGCATCCTGCAGATGGGCTTTGCTTGTTTGTGCGGCCTGGATGCTGGCATGCTGCAGCCTGGTACCGGTCCACGGACGAGGGGTTGGGGACCCCTGTTTTAAACTACATTGAACTTTTTCCTGACATTCCAAACTCACTTCCCTACAAAAAGAAGAAAACATGTGTTCATTAGTCCCTTTCCATGCCATTTGTAATTCTTGAAATTATTTTCTACCAAAGCAACATAAATTCACATACTTCCTTCCATTTCTATGCAACATGCAAAATATATATGTTCTAATTTTTAGCCAACAGATCTCTAACATTACAAGAATTTCTTAAATATATATCCATTTATATATTAAGCAATTTGATGGATATCTTTATACTTAGACTTACCCTACTTCTATGTTATATTAGTCTTATTAGCAATCAGCTTTCAACACTGAATATTTTATAATTCAAGCTTATTTACTTTTCCATATCCTTAATTTAAAAATATATAGTAACCTTTCTTTCTTATATTCATTTTCCAATAACCTGCTGAAGAGCAAAATCCTGTTGTGAAATTTCCCTGCTGCACTGCACTTCCCAAATTTTGCACATTATCATTTTTGATCAGAATTGTGCATGTTGAACTAATTAATCCGTTTAATTTAGTTGACTTTTCATTAATATAGATGAACAGTAAGTGATTTTTCCAGTAATTAAATACGTATATGGTCTTTGCACACACATTAATCAAGTCATACAATCACTACATAATCAGATCAAATATTTTAATATTCCTTTATTAGCAACCTTAGCAGGCTTTGTGGGTTTTTCAAATCAACTATTTGGGAAAATTGTATTTTGTAGTTATCCTTTGAATTTGTCTGAGCCCGTTGAGCAAGGAACCTGTTATGGTCCTTACTGCTTTTAGTAGCATTATGTGATCTGTTGAAGTTTTGCAGTAAATCATAAGACATTTAAGAAGCCTGCTCCACAGACAAAGGCATTTGATATCTAACTGCTGTTGGAGAAATATTGATTGGACCTTTGGAAAAAATTATCCTGGACATTTTTGAACTCATTAGTGAACTGGTGCTGCTATTGCAGTGGTAGTGATTGGATCCAAGTACCAAGTTGCCTGTATCTCCTTGATACAACTTCCACAGCCCTAATCCTATTTTTGTTTTGTTTTAGCTTTGAGTGGAATGAGAGGTGGGTTTAGTGAGATTTAAAAAAGACTGATTCCTTCACCCTTACTTTTTAAATCAGCCGCACATACACACATGTCATATTTGCTTATTTAGTAGAATTTATTATTCAAATTTATTTTGATAGCCGTTCACTTCTAGGGAGTCCAGTATGCTCTTAACCACTCTCTTTCTCCATCTGAAATTGTTTGGAGGTTTTTGTCAAAGCACAACTGATCTGAAATAGCACAACAAAACTCCCAAGAGGTAATGTTTTCCTTGAATGGAGAAACATCCCATTTTTCATTTTATGTACATCTGTAGTTTATAGTAGTCATTCCAATTTAACTTGTTCTTATATCCCGATCATTTCCATGCAGCTCTCTAAAATAGTCATTCAATGTCTCCTCATTTCAGTTTTATCCCAAATCATGTCATCACTTTTTATCTTAATTCCATTCATTTTGATTAATGCTCCTTTTAACCTACTTCCAAAACATATTTTTAATCTCCATCAAAATTGTTCTGCGTTTTCTTTTCCTCTTTTAATCTCAGTTGTTCTATGTGCCCCTTAATTATTTTTTTGCAACTGTTTATTGATATTGCTATTAAGTAATAATATTGTGAGAAATTGTGAGTAGGATGGGAAGATAATGGAAGGGAAATTGGTCATAAATAAAAAAACAAACAAAAGGAAGTTTATTTTATAAATGGCAACTCAGTCCAAAGATGCTTTACAAAAGGCAACTGGACTTTCTTGGCTTTTTCCCTGAAAATGTTTGACTTGTCCAAAAAGCTTGGGGAGTAGAAGGATTTATATTATTTGCAGTCATCTGCAGTCATCCGGTGACAAACAAATGGCACAACATAGGAGAACAAACCCATTAGGACAAGATTCAGCAGTCCATCAACTTTTGAAAGACAAAGGTCATTTTTTGAAGACAGCAAAGTCCACATTCTGGACAGAGAGGATTACTGGTTTGAAAGAGGGTTCAAACAGACTATTTGTGTTAAAATTGAACAGCCCTCTCTCTACAGAGGGGGAGGGATATGACACCACTTATCTCCTGTCTACAACAAAGTCCTTTCAGCAGTCCCAGGAAGGATCCGCACCACTTTATTTATTTATTTATTAAATTTATATACCGCCCTATCTCCCTTGCGGGACTCAGGGCGGTGAACAGGCGATACTAAAAACCATGGTAATAAATAGTTTGTTTTAAAATCGAATTAAATAACGGGCCTGTTCTAAAAACACACCCGTAAAAAAAAACCCCACTGAAACATAATCAAGCTACGCCAGGTTACGCCAGGCCGGCTGCACGAAATAGATGGGCCTTCAGGGCTCGGCGAAAAAGGCGCAGGTCCGTAACTGTACGTAGGTCGGGGGGTAGGTCATTCCAGAGGGCAGGAGCTGCCACAGAGAAGGCTCTCCCCCTGGGGGTCGCCAGCCGGCATTGTCTGGCCGACGGCACTCTAAGGAGGCCCTCTCTGTGGGAGCGGACTGGCCGAAGGGAGGTGTTTGGTAGGAGGCGGTCTTGCAAATACCTAGGTCCATTGCCATGGAGC